ACATAAGACTAAAATACGAGTTTATTATTTATCATGAACACGACGGCAATCCGGCCACAAGAGAGTGAGGTATACACCGGTACGGGGACTCGTTGTGTATAATTATATAACTAGCCTGTTCGCAATACAGTTGATATCGGTGACGGATATAGACGCAGTTCCGGACTTGGGCAAGAGCGGAAGCGATCGCGAAACGACGTATTGTAGGAGTGGTGAAGGATAGTGTACCGTACCGATAATTATGCTTTTGTGATTATAATAATAAATACGAGACACAAGTAAAATTTAAACATTGGTTCCACGTATATATACGTTACATGTTTTTGTTCAGGATTGCGTGTAGTTATGTAGACGAGTTCCGTGGAACTTATTATGCATAATAAGTGTTTCATGCAATTATCATGCCTTTGTATCGTAATGACTTACGGTAATGTGTGCGATATCGTTTACCTGCCTTTATTACAGATATTTTATAACTATAATGGTCATCATTAATATTACATAATTTTTTTGTTCTGTATTGCTTTGTTCTCTGTACTATTTATGAGCACTAATCACTAAAGCACCTCGAACGACAACGGCACATTTTTTCCGTAGTGATGAAATGTCAATAGATTCAACCTTTCAATTGAATGTATGGGGCTGGGACACAGGTTTCGAGTCTGTTCGTTTTTCATGTTAGATAATATTAAATATTGTTGAATAAGCTAACACATAAAATACAATGGCCCACTCTGTATATAGACATTATGTGCAGTAAATAAAGTTTAGTTCCTAACTAATAGTTATAATTTGTATAGCCAAAAAAGTGAAAGTTTTGTAAATAAAAGTCTCTATTTATTATAATATTATGTACATAACATAAAATCTATCTGAATCACAACATAACGGAACAGATACATTTTTGGTACCAGCAGAAAATTAAAAACTCATATTATTAATGTTAACAAATGGACATCACACACTTGTTTTATTCACATCGTAATATCGTAGGTATACGTGTCCTTGAGTAAACGTACTTACGATTACTTGGTAACAAGCGCTACGCTGGCATACCTCATATAACAGTGTATATTCATTGAATAGCATTATGTATTGTTTTCTTTTTTTAATTTTATACCGAAATCAGTGGTTTATTTTGTACAATGTACATTAGAGCGCATGGCGTCGGTATATACTAACTAGATGGTATACATTTGATGTGTAATAATATAAAATGTTAATGAATCCAGAATTACTATTTATTGAACTCAATTAAAAGATACGCATTTATTAATTATATGCCGTACCGATAAATTTTTACTTTTACCTGTTGTTTTAAATTTCGAAATAACAAATTTTAGTCATTATTGTATTGATTAACCGTTAACAATTTAAATACAACCTTGTACGCGATACTTTTATTTTCTATAGGTAAAAATATATTCCAAATACATGTTTTCAAGTGTAAATATAATTTGAATTTTTTTTTTATTTCCTGCAAAGTGCGATTCAATATTAATGTTCTACGATGGATGATTTTAGTTGAATTTTAAGTTATTTTATATTTGTTTAATTTACATTATTTTGTTACTGTTAAGTATTTAAAATATGAAATTCAAAAAAAAAAAAATGAAAAGGAATCGTGACTCCCGCAGGAAACTTGATTTAGGTGAAGATGAAAAAAAAATCCAAGTCCTATAAAAAAAAATAAAATGTGTGTATATTTCGTATATTTGTAGTGAATGCATATTCGTATATAGTACGTGTAAATATAGTGTAAATATAGTGCAATCATCTAACCAGATATGTATATAGTTCGTGTAGATATAATGTAGGCATCTACACATATAATCCATGTGGATATCGCACACTCAGAAGAAGAATGGCACAACTAAAAATTTGGCTGATTTAAGATCAAGACGTAATTAAGTTCTTTTACAATTCTAAATATAATAAATTATTTTTAGTGAAATTCGGCTTAACTTAGATGATCCGTTTTATCTATTTACACATACAAATCACGTTAGATAGCTGATTCGTCATTTTTAGCCATTTTGATACATTTTTTCTACCTATACTGTATAATTATTGTATTTGAGTTGTGTCGTTCATTTTCAGGATGTACGATAAAGGGTTAACTTCTACAGATATATAGTTTGGGTAGATACACGTACAACTTATGAAAATTCATTTAATTAATTATACAAATAATTATATAATAAATCCGCCACATGTGAATTATGTGGTTTAAACTGACTGTGAAACATATTATACTTGATGTCTCAAATACGAATGAGATCGACAAAATATTAAAAAATATCTGATCCATGACATAGCATTTAGACTAAAAACTGGAGACAGTACCAAAATGATAGTCTTCTTAAAAGCAACAAACCTCTTAAACGCAAAAAAAAAAAAAAATGTAAAATATACCACCAACTTTTTGTGACTAAAAATAACTTCATAACTAATGCTATCATAGTAAAATTACAATACTGTTCCCTTATAATGTAATATTATTTATATGAGAATATTTGTAAATTACTTTAATTCCTTTAATTGTAATTAATAGTCTTACACGCAGAGCTTTGTGAAATTGAGACCAACAAAAAAAAATTGTATAAATGTGATGTAGGTATGTTACATAATAAAAGAACAGTTTTATGTTTGTAATATTATGAGTATATGATTATATTTTCATGGTCAATTCTTATCACAATTTTTTTTATTAAATATGATATAAATAATTAATTAATTAAATAAGTTGTACATGTTGTAAAAAAAATTAAGTAGTAAGCTTATACAAAAAGAATAAAAAAATATTTTAGGGACTCAACTAGCAGCTAATCCCTGTTATTGTTTTATGCTATCGATCACAGCTCATGGGCCGCAGGTATATTTTTGTCACGTACAGAAAAATTAAAAATGTATTAAGTTTTTTTTATTTCTATACGATTTTTAATGATTTTTAAATGTTAAAAATATGCAAAACTAAAATAAGAAGATTGTAAATTTATAGGTGATGAAATTTCCCTAGTCGTATCGCCGTATCAAAGATATGGTTTGCTATTTAGGCATTGTAATTTGTCAATATTATAATTTTTCACTAAGTGTTTAGTGTTTATCATCGATGTACGCTGGTCCTGCATATTAAACACTGTACCAACACTGAACGTACAGAACCGACTAAACATTCTTTAGGATGAAGGTCGGTCGGTCGGTTTGGTGTCGTCCAAATCGATGTGTATTATATCATACGAGTATAAACTTATAATTTAATATTTTGTCGTGCCGTAACAGTGTGAATTTTTGTGGTATAAATTCGGTAGTTATTTTAATTTGTAATGATTCACTTCTCCCATTGCGTAACGCATAGCACATACGTATACAAAATTGCCTATTCGTAACTCCTTCTTAGTCATCGTTTTCAAATACACACTGAATTATAACACTATTATTTTAAGAAAACTATTTTAACTACACAATAGTAATTTAAAAACAATTGAACAAAACCCCATCAACTATAGGCGCACATAGTATTTGAGTTTTAGAGGGCGGGAGGGAGCCGATTAATATTTTATAATATAATTTACTATGTACAATAGACTGTAATCTTATGATTACAATTTTTTTTTTTTTTTTTTTAAAGAGCTATACGTAATAAAGGGGAGTTAAGTTCTCCTACCTTATTTGTATGTATTCAAAATTTCCATAATATTGCACAATTTTTGTTCATCTCAAATACACATTTTGCATAATTCAAATTCAATCTGAGTTCAGTTTCGTTGAGCTAAGAACGTCTGTGGATGTTTGTCGTATATATCTAGCTGGTAAAATTAATTATAATACTTCGACTAAAACATTTTCATTAAACTAATAAACGAAAGTATAAAATATTAATTGAAATATCAAACATGATAAAGGCTGGTAATAATAAGTAGGTACTATAGTATATAATGGCCTAATCCTTACGTCTCAATTAAGCACACATTAATCAAGTTTATAGTTTATTTTAAATTAAAATACGTACAAGGACCCTGGGCTAAAAAATTTAAATAAGTTTCATAGGTACCTTTGACCAGGCTCGACTCCAAAGAGGGGGGCCCCTAAAGGCATGCCCCCCCAAGCTTTTCAAAAATTTAAATTGTTTAATACATTTTAGTCCGTGTGAACTATTAAATCCCGATTATTTAATTAGATACAAACCTAATAATTTTATTTTGCCTAAAAAACCATATTATGACATTAATATGAGGTGCAATCATAATATAGGAACATAATCGGACTCTGTGTCTCAGTACTAATTTGGGGAAACAACTATTATCAGTTAATACTTAAAATGCCTCCCCCCTCTGGTAAGTCTCTGAAGACACGCCTGCCTTTGACTACATCAAATATTTATGTAGATTTAGACTGTAGGCCAAATAGTAAATAGACATTTATATAGCCACAAACTTTTCACTTCAAAAAATTCTTAAAAAACTGAATGCTATCGCTTATAATAAAAAAATAATTTTGAAGCTGAAAAATAACATTAAATTTTATTAAATTATTATGGTTTTTTGTTTTAGTTAATGTGACCTAAATTTGTGTGCAGTTATGAAAAGTTGATATTGAAAACCCGTTTTAATTCCTTGATAAAATTTAAATAATAATAAATTAAAAACATACTTATATAAATTTTGATGAAAAAAAACTGTTTAATTTTCAATACCAAATAGATATTTTTAAGTAATCTAAATCATAAATCTATAATAATCAACAGTAATTAATGCTGCAAAGAGTACTTAACATAAAACAATAAAAACTGTATAAAACTCACATTCAGTCTTTTATACATATTTTATTTTCACATTTTCGCATATCACATTTTGTAAACAAACTATTTCATAAAAAACATGTTTGTCAAATTGTATTATATTTAGTACACTGGAAATATATACATACATTAAATTATAACATATAAACAATTTATATTATAAATGTAGTATAGTTATAAACTTTATGTGTAAATAACATTTTTTATAATCTAGTAGTCTAGAAGTTTATAACTTGTTTTAAACTATAAAGTCAGAACAGAAATTTATTTTTCTATAAGTTTACACAAAACAAAACATAAAGAGTCACGAAAGTTCATAATTTCATCATATTGATCATTGAGTTCATTATGCCCATATGTTTCCAAAAGAAAATTAATAAAACTCCTCACAACATTTCTCAGCGCCAATATGTTCTGCCAATCACTAAAAAAAGGAAGACAATTTTATTTAAATACTGAGGTCATTTATAGACATGTAGATCTAATTAAAAAAAATTTAGTATTTGTAAAAAACTATTTAATAATTGTTGTTTTATTATCTTATAATATTAAAAAAGAAATTGATGTCAAAGAATTTTAGAAATCATTTTTTTATATAAAAGTTCAATAAATGAAAATAAAAAATCATGTTTTTTAAACTTAGCAATTTTTATACAAACACATAATATAAAAACGCAAAACGGTGTATACAAAACTTAGGTAGTTGGATATTTTTATTTATTTAAAAATTAACCAAAATAGCTTTTACATTTAAAAATTGACTGTTAACTTAGAATTCATAAGATAAGTTTAATGAAAGTTATTTTATGGTTAAGTATAATTATATTGTAACAAAAATATTCAATTAACAACATGAAAATTATAATATAATTGATTATAGTAATACTTATAATTAATGGTGAAAACCAGGGCTCATAATTTGTAGCATTTAAATATTTTTTTTGAAAGGTCCTAGAAATACTTATGTGAGCTATAAATTTATTTCAGATAATTAAGATGCTAAATACAAAATTTTATGTTGCATATTTTTTTATATTTCAAAGTATAAAAGCTATTTTGCTTTTTTTCTATTTTTGTATATTTAGAAATTTTTTATTTGTTATTTTGCTTTTTTAAGTCCTTTTCAGTTTTGTAGCATTTAAAACAATTTTTCTTAATAATAACAAGTAATTATAGTAGTATTTATATTTATAATTAACTCATATTAATTAATTAATTTTTCTTCTTTTGATTTAAATTATATATTTTTTTATATTATATAGCGATGCGATCGGTATTTTAATAATAAGAATTTGACATTTTTTTTTTACATATTTATTTTTTTCACATATTTTTCTATTTACAGTGCATATTTAAACACTTATATGAATATTTTTATGAATATATTATAGCGCTTATAACTAATATTTTTAGAGCTATAAGTTATAAGCCCTGGTGATGACTAATAATGAATTATTTTGAATCTCAAAGAATGGTAGTATATATTTTTTATTTAACATAAAAAAATATTTTAAATACATATTTTCAGTAAAACAGAATATATTTAATTGTATAAAGTCAAAGGTCAGAAAGAAAAAATAACATTCAAAAAAATAATAGATAGAATTTATAAATTCTGAAATAATTAGTACTTACCCTTTTGAACAAGAAATGTTTATACGTTTTCCATTTTTTATGTATATCAAACAATTATTTTGTCCATCCTGTGGAGTATATGTATTTAAAATATAATTTCAGTAATTAATAATAAAGTAAGTAAAATATTTAAACAATTGACTTACATGTTTAAAATGTGCTTGGCCATTAAAAAACAGAATAGCCATTATTGGATGAATATATGTAGATTTATTAAGCATAACCGCATTATGATCAAGATTTTTACCTTCTCTAAAATAAGTTAACAGTTCATTTTCCTCATTTTTATTATAATTTACACTTTCTGAATGTAATACAACTTTTATTCCAGTACTAAAAAATAAAACAACAAAAGTTATTTAAATAAAAATAGTTCTTAATATTTATAGAAACATTCATACTCATTAACAAATGATGAATCTGTACGTCCATTTCGTCGCATAAATGATTGTTTGAATACTAAATTACCAAATCCTGAAATTAATACAGCTGGCAAAAGTTGATCTAAAGATTTTTCTGAATTTAAATTTAAACTGTCTATATCTTTATCTTCAATAAGCATACTGTTGTACAAATGTTGTGCAAATAAATTTTTTAATCCTGTAAGAATTTTAAATCAGTCCAATTATTAATAAACTTATACCAGTTAAACAATTTATGTTATACATAATCATTAAAAATTATAATATCAAAAAATGGGTATAATACTTACTATACATCAATATTAGGCTATTATTAGATAATGAAAGATTATTGGAGTAATAATTGGAATCATTTGAATAACGATCTCGAGTAGTGTTCCATTCAGAAAATATTTTTGCCACAGCCAAGTGATCACTACATGATGAGTAATTTTTTTTTATCATTCTTGATTCAGCAGGTGTAGTTTCTCTGAATATATTTACATTGCTTGATAAGTAAGTTATAATGGTTAGTGTAGAATCTAAACACCTAAACATTTATATTAATGTAACATACAACAAAACTATATTATAGACAAATAAAAAATGAATGTATACTTGAAAAATACTGAATTAACTAAAGCTTTTGAAAGACAAGGATCAAATGGAAATGCTGCGATTCTTTTGCCCAATGCTGTCAATTTCTCTTCTTTGTCTAATGCACCAAGAAGTTGTAATTCTGAAACAGCGCTATCTACAGTTTCAAAATCAGGTGGATTTAAAAGCTTGGATAGTACAGTCCTTGCTTTGTCTTGGCTGTGTATCTAAATAATATTAATGAACACAATTTATAACATCTTTTAAACAACAAAAATACCAAATTAAATCATATTATTATGTATTAAGTATATAATTACTTTTAGATTTAGGACTGTATGTTCAAGAGGAGTTAATTGAATTTCTGGTATAGGATATGTAGAACATTTGTTAAAACGATCTATTGTGTATAAATGATAACATTCTCCTGGCTGGGTTCTTCCCGCACGACCTCTTCTTTGTATCGCATTAGCTTGGGAGACCCAACTACGATCTAATAATTTAATACCCTTTTCCGCGTTCCAACTAAAAAATTATTAATAATTATATTAACAAATATTAATCAGTATAAAACATTCAACACTTCAAATAATTGAATAATAAATGTAAGAAATATTAAATAAAATTGAACATTTCAAAAACAAATAAAAAATACAGACTAACATTAAACATTAAATTATAATATTACTTTAATTATATGTTAAAATTAAATATTGTGAGTAAAATAAAATAATTAACTTACCTGGACACATTTTGCATACCAGTGTCAATAACATATACTACGTCATTAATAGTAATACTAGTTTCAGCAATATTTGTAGCTAACACAATTTTTCGTCTTCCGTTGCTTGCAGGTTTCATGATTTCAATTTGCTTTTCAGGTGTTAGTTTAGAATGAGCAAACATTATATCAAAATTATTATATCCATGCTGTATGAGTTTATTTACCTATTAAAACAAATATATTTCAAGAAAAAAGATTATGTTAATAACATATAAACTAAATTATTCTCACGTCAATTATATCTTGCCAACCAGATACAAAACACAATATAGCTCCAGGTGGCTTATTCTTATGTATCCATTTTATTGCATTTGCTACTAGCTGTGGATTCCAAAAAGGTACATTATTCATTTCAACTGTTGTATTATGAATACCCCATTCTCTTGCCAGTTGATTCTAAAATTTAACATAAAATATTAATATTCAAATTCAAATTTAATAACAATTAATAAAATTTACTGATAAAAAATGAGTTTTCACTGGATAAGTGAAACCTGGTATTGAAATAGATGCAGCTAATTGACCATAATAATTCTGAAAGTGTTCAGCGTTCAATGTGGCACTCATTATAACTAATTTCAAGTTCTCATTTAATTCCAATGCATTCTTTGTAAGCATAAGTAATATTTCAGTGTTTATATCTTGTTCGTGAGCTTCATCAATAATAACATGGGAAAATTCTTTAAGTGCAGGATCACTTTGTAATTTTTGAAGCAATATGCCACTAGATGCAAAGACTATAGAGCCCGGTTTTTTTGGTAAAATTTGTTTTAAACGAACTTGATAACCAATCACATCACCTAACTTTAAAATTAAAATAAACCATTTTTAAAAAAAAAATATAAAATAAATTTCATTCTCTTATATACTTCTTCTGAACGTTCATTAGCAACTCGATGAGCAAGAGTTAATGCACTGATTCGTCTTGGCTGTGTAACATAAACATTACATTCACCTCCTTTTCCAATTTGGCTCCATTTTTTCATTATAAAATTAGGTACTCTTGTACTTTTCCCACACCCAGGTTCTCCTTTTATAATAGTTACTTGATTATTCTCAATCATTTCAAGTATATTTTCCCTAATTATTATATATTTTAAATAAAAATGTGAAATATTATATATAAATATTTGTATAAAACATACTCATAGTCATCAATGGGTAATTTGACTAATCCAGATATTTTTTGCATGGATCTATCACATAGAAGTTTATTTCGTTTTGAACAGTCAATAGATGAAGACGAAGATAACATAAAATCAATTGTATCTAAACATTTAAAAATTATTAGTAATTACATAAATCAATAAAATTAAGTATAATTTACCATCCTGAGAATCTATTTCAGTTAACACTTGTTTTCCTTTGTTTATTAATGGTTGAATTTCCTACGGTAAATAATGATAAATAATATGTTTATACTTAATTATTTTCAATAAACTAAACTTTAATAAAACTATTTGTTATTTTTTAGTATAATAGTTAGGCGTGTAGTCAGGAAATATATTTTAAAAAGGCCAATATTTTTTGTCCCATACATTAAATAATAAAAAATTAAATTAAAATTGAAATATAAATAAATAAATAAAAAATTAGCTTGGAGTATATTAAATTTGTTATAAAGTACAACTGGTTTTGAATGATTTGATTCATTATTAGGTACATACAAAGTTAATAAAATTGTGACTGAATATGAAAAAATAAAATCTGAGTATGATAAAATAAAATTACAATCAAATGTGAATAAATAAAGGATGGAATAAATTAAGAAAAATTAGTCGTTTTACATAATGATAATTTATTTTAATAGTCGATTATTATAATTATTATAGACTTTAATTCTTGACTTGGAGGTATTTATTGAACAATTTTCTAATAATGATATAGATATTTTATAATAATCTTAATTTATTTATAAATAATAATATAGTGATATCATTTAAATACTATTTTACTTTAGTTTACTAATACTATTATATTATACTTTACCGTAGTACTCAATGAATATGAGCTATGTTTATATTTTTCTATTAACATATGAATGAAAAGTTATTAATATATAAATAAATAAAGAATAGTTTATATATAGAAATAAATAAATATATTTAAAAGTACTTTACAAACATAATAATAATCCAGACTAAGCTTCTAATTATTTTTTTTATTATTGGCTGTTGATGTGTATAGAGGATGTAGAATATCAAAAATGGAAAATTAGTGGAAATTTAGGACAAAGGTGGCCAATCCCAAATAGTTGGGAAAAAGGCAAAGGAAATGTAGAAAATATATAAGATTAATATAAAATATCTTTATGATTATTAAAAAATTGTTTAACTAATACCGCCAAGTTAACAGTCAAAGAATATAATCATTTTTTTTGTATTTTCATAACATTAAATAAGTGATTGGGTCAGTCAAGGGCCTTTATAATTTTTAGGTTGCCAGGTCTATCCTAGCTTTTCCTTAACTACATGCCTAATACTAATTAAAATGAAAAATTAAATTAATGTAAATATTTATAAATCTAAAATTTACTAACCAGATTGTACGTTTGAACTAGGTTTGCAATTAATTTTACATTTTTTTCACTCAGATTTATTGAAGCAATAGGAGTTGATGCTACAGCTATGCGTTGTTTTGCTGTTATTATTGGTTTACCTTGATGATCAAGTTTTTCAATATCCTAAAAAATTATTTAATATTATTTTTAAATTAGTTAAAATACAATTAATAATTAATTAAAATATTATATTTAATGTTCTAAGACTAGTGGCAAAAAATAAAAAAAAGTTAACCATTTTTTTTTTGAAATAATAAAATAAAAAAATAAGTAAATAAAAGGTAAAATATAAAATAGGTAAATAAACAAGTTTATTTAATTTTTCACTCAATTGTTTAAAATGATTATCTTACTTGCAACCATTTTATAGCATTTAAAGCTACAGTTTCTGCAGCTTTGACTTTTGTAGTATCCATACTTGAGAATACCATTGAATTGGGCCATTGAACACTTAATTTGCAACCCCATAAATTTTTGTTTTTCTTGTGAAATCCAAAATGAAGACCTGTCTTTATGTCTTGAGCTTTTTCAACTTGACTGTAATAGTTGGAAATAATATTACGTGGTGATGAAAACTTTCGTTTTAACTTCTTTATATCTTGAAAAGAAAATTAATTGTATTTTATAGATTTATAATTTTAACATGCTATCAATTCATCAATTTTAAAATCTTACCTTCATCAGAAACTTGATATTCTGATTGAACAGTAGAGAATTGTGGACATTTAATTGTAATATGCCTTCTGAAACTAATCGGACAGAATTTATATTAATATACACTGTGATAGGACGAATATTTTTAAAATTATTCATAATAATTAACAAAAACAAGTATAACTACATGTAGATACTCACTGAAAAATTGGAAAATGTGTTAATAATGGTAATCTAATAAAAGACATCATGTTTAACATCTTAAAATTATTGTAAGCTAAAAGTTTAAGATTCTCATTATAGTTTACTAAAAAATTGATTTCCGTTTGTAATTAATATCACAATTAAAATAGTTAAAAATTGAAATTTCAAGAATTAGTCACAAAACTGACACTACAATAATTTATAAACTTTATTTAATAAAACCGGAACTTTTTAATTATTTAATATACACTTAGCACATGGGCAAACCGCTGATAAGCGAAATTAAAATATTTTGTGATAGTATAGATAATTTGATAATAAAAATCTGATTTGATAAAGTTAATTTTTCAGCATTTGAAAATATTTAATAAATTTCCATTTTCAAATTTTCAATTTAACTCCTTTAAATAGTTACCGAATAGAGTTTTAAACAGTGTTAAATCGGCCAGTTCTTTACAGATGGCTAAAAGCCCTGTTGTGACTGGGATTTCTCCAAAAGAAGGGCCACCTGGAACGAGAGTAACAATCAGAGGAGAGTACTTAGGAGTCAGTCCTAATGATTTAACAAGTAATATAATCAAATAATCTTTGGAAATGTTTTGACAATACTACTGGATTTACAGGCTTAAAAATATGTGATTGTGAGTGTATGCTTTCGGCTGAATGGAAATCCCCAAATAAAATTATAGCAAGATCTGGACCAGGAAAAGGACGTGGTGATATCATTTTGATCACAAAATCTGGAGGTATTGGTACCAGCACAGTACAATTTCGAGGCTATCACGAAACAATAGGTCCTTTAAAAGAGAGCGCAGTTTGGGTAGAAGAAGCACCACTGAACTGGGGTAGGCAAAATAGTTCAGTCACTATATTCCAATTAGATGATCCTCTTGGTCTATCCGTTGAAGGAGATGAGTATGTACTTTTAAAATAACTATTTAAACCATCAGACCAAAGTATTGATTACAATTATTTTCATTGCTGCATTAAGAAAATTCCCTGAAAATGAACTAACTGAATTATTTCCGGATGGTTCTGGTGATCTGTTGTCAGAAAATTTTGAACCAGCATGGTTTTTACTTGAACACCATCACGGGACATCTTTCGATGACTTAAGAGTAGGTTTATCATATTTAAAAAGAAAAGTAGATTCACAAAATGAAGGACAGCTATCTTTTTTAAAAGTAAGTAAAAACAAAAAAAAAGTCTATTAAATAACATGTTCAATTTGATAATATAATTATAATTATAATTATTAAATTATTAATATAATTTTTTATATTAGGATAATGTTGGATCAGTTATGGAACAATTAGACACTCTTTTTTCTTTAAAACAAAGTTATGAAGCTGATTTTGAAAAAAATAATGAAACTCTTTTTAGAGTTGAAGAAGCAATAAATCGTAAATATAAAATATGGCTTTTATTATTTGTTATTTACCAATATAACAAATGTCATTACAGAATCTTTAAAAGAAGCTACTAATTTATTCCATGGAGTTTTAAGCAGAAGAGAAAAAGCTGAAGCTACTAGAAATGCATTAGCTGTAATGACTAGATATAAATTTTTGTTTCAATTACCAATAAATATTGATCGTAACATTAAAAATGAAGATGTAGATGTTATTATTAATGATTATGCAAGGGCTTTGAATTTGTTTGGAAAAACTGAAGTTTCTGTAAGTAATTATAATATATAATATTTTATTAAAAAATGTTTACAATGTAATACATTATTAATCGATAAAGGTTTTCAAAAAAATATTAGAAGAAGTTGAAGTTAAAATAATAAATATAAGAATGAATCTGAAATCTAAGCTCCATCAAATGCCTACAACCCTGAAACAACAAAAGAAAATTATTAGGTAATATTAATTATAACATATATAGTCATACAAATATATGTAATGTACCCTAACATTAAATTTTAGAATATATTTAATGTTCTTAATTGTCTTAAATCAAACTCAGATTTTTTTCAGAATAATTATTTTTATATAAAGTATAATACTTGGATTCATATTTAAAAAAAAAGTTTAAAGTTTTTACTCGATTAGATAATTTTAAATTACATTTAGGGTTTCTCTTCAATGTATGAATATTATAATTATATAGTCTATAAATATGGTAATATTTATTTAATCAGGAAAAAAATTAAAATATATATTTCATATTTGTAGAAATTTAGTTGCTCTGAATGATAATGGCGATCCTGGTTGGGAAGCAATAATTCACATGAAGCAATATATTATTGATAGAATAAAAGCTAGTTATCAACAATTTATAACTGAAGAACAAGAAAATGAAACTCCTAGTAAGTTAATTATTTCTTAAAACCATTAATTTTAAATTTTAAATTTATTTATAATAGTTCAAGAGCAAAAAGTTTATAATAATGTATATAATTATTATTACACACTATTGATCAATAATTATGAATTAAAATTATGAGGCTAAGAAATTTTGAAATTTAGAAAGCTAATTAGTGTTACAATGGAGAAATTATAGATAGTTCTAAGTACAGATCCTTTTCTTTATTGCGTGCAAAATACAAGTATAACTCTAAGAAATTGTATAATGATTTTTCAGCAAACTGATTTGTCTTTTATCTTTAACCCCAAACATTTCTGAAAATAAGTGAAAAAACAGATTATATCATTTTATTCTTGAGTCCATATAGTTAAATTACGTTATTCAGTGCCGGGTTAAGGGGAAGGGTCAAAGGGGGCAGTTGCCCCGGGTGGTAACATTTTAGAGGTGGAAATTTTTATTAAAAAATGAGTAAAAAATGAAACTTTATTTACATTACACTACAACAAATAAAAAAAAAATTAAAATTAAAAATTAAATTACATATAATTATATTTTAATTGAACTGTACGATTAGTATTTCTTTTAAGTTTTGGAATTTGAATGATCGACGGTTGTCTAAGTTTTTATATATTGAAAATGACCTCTCAACATCAACTGAAGTTAGTTATAATACAAGAAATAGGTCAAAAATGTCTTAAAATATAAAAAAAATGCATTTAAAATATCAAAAAATGGTCTAAAAAGTATAAAATCCGCTAAAATGCAAAAAATGTTTGTGGGTAGAACACGGAGTACTTGAAACAAATTTGTAGTTTGGAAAGCATCGCGTTTGATATCTCAAGAAAAAGATGCAAATACATTGAAATCCGAGCCCTAGACATAACTGTTGTGAAAAGAGAAATAAGTGGATTGGTTATACATTTAAAGTCTTCTAAATTAATGTCTTAGCAATGTTGCTACAACTCTTTGTCTTTAACATAGTCTTTAGAGTTTGCAAGATAACTGCTGTTGCAGAGAGTACATTTTTCTGGCAAATTGATTTTTCTGATTAGTGTTAAAATTTGTGGTATTCTGCTTTCTTGTCTTTTAAAAAGTGTATGAGTTCTCTAAATCCATTAGGCGTATCTATATTTTCATAAATGTAATAGTTGATTTGCAGATAGAGCCTTCTTATCTGATTAAATTGGCTATAAATAAATAAATTCTTTATACATTAAAGTATCAAAAATCAATATTTGTTTTAAATACATTAATGTATTTATTTTAATTCTACTATTATAAATTTTAGATAAGAATAATAGACATCCTCATAACAAGCATAAAAGAAATATTAGTTTATCACAGCAAATTGAGTCCCAAGTATGTTAAGCCATGTTTAGTTAATTGTGTGATTTTATAATAAAAAATATTTTTTAGAACACTGAACCAAAAAAAGTATTATGTATCGATGAAATAGCTACTGTAATATCGGATTATTTTCCTGACTTATGGAAACTTGGACAAAATTACTTTGTTGGTGACTTAGCTATAAAGCCAGATTGTAGTCATGAATTTGATTTCAAAGTATGTCCCATTATATTATTTTAACTATTACAGTAAAAAATATATTTTATTTTTACCCCTTTAGGAAATGATTTTAGACATAATTGTTACTGTATCTGACATATATAGAACAATTATGTTACCTACAACTACAACTAACACATATTCTCCAGTGCCAATCATATGGTTACCACATTGCCTAAAACAAATCCGATCAGTATTTTCAGTTTTAATGGCCTTAGATCTTCCCAATGAGGCTTTAAATAAGATTTCTAGTGTTATATTTGATTTAAGGTTTGATATTTATTATTTAAAATTTGTTGAACTTCATTACATTTGTACTGAATTATTTTAATCAGATTACACTGCTTAAATATTTTATTCAAACAAGCATCTGAGCAAATTATACAGCTAAAAACTACCGAAACATGGAAGTTAGATTTTCATTCAAAACAAGGAACTATATCGCAATTGGTGATTTTAATTTTCTATGATTTACATTGTTTAAAACTATCATATTATTAAATGCATTTCCATAGCCAAATGATTTCTACAAAATCATAATGGAAGCAATGAATTTAGCCAAAGAATATGTTATACGTAATGAGCGTAGAGAAACTGCACTTGTTGATAATGATACTGCTAAAAACGAATTGCAACTATTAGTTCATAAATGTTTTTGGAATTTTTCACAGGTATAAAATTATGCAACTGTAAACGTATTTTATTTTTAGGACTGACATCATTTTTATTTTAAAGGTATTAGAACAAGTGGGCTTAAATGCTGATACTAATTGTTCATCTACAACAATTATGTCTCTTGGTGGATCTTCAGTTACAGGATTTAAATTACAAAATGAATTGGTAAGTTTTTTAATAATATTTTTTTTAATTCAAACATTCAAAAATTTTTAAATTTGAAAGTTTTATATTATCATAATTGTTTTTATTCTATGGTCAGATTATTGCATAATATTCCGCCCAGTGCCGTATTTCCCAGGAAACACTATAAGCTAGTGCTTAGGGCAGCAAATAATTTTTAATATTACATTTTTATCATATGTAACTAAAACTAAAATAAACCCAACTAATTATAAAATGTTTTATTTTAATAAAGCCAATGGGTATCAAACTATTTAATTTTAAATATAATTTAAAAATGAACTAGGTATTTAAGCTTTTTTTACTACCATGTTTTTTATCATTATATTTTATATCATATTTTTATAATTAAGTTTTTCATATGAATGTATGTATGAATTTTTATTACAGCTGTATATTTTTATTTTATATCATTAAAATTATAAGTCATAAAGGAAACAAATATAATTGTGTGCTGTAATAAAATTTATTTGACTAGAAAAATATTTATAATAAAAAGAGGCAATTTGTTTAATGCTTAAAGTGGCACAATGGTTAAATCCGGCACTGATTCCGCTCAATTATCCTTTAGCATTGCTGTTTAGCTGATTTTGGCTTAACTATTTCCTAGGTAGGTAACTCCATAGTAATTTAACAACAATTCCATGTTCCCATACAATGTGTCCTAAACATACAGTAACCCTCAGTACCTGGTGTATGTAGTTAAGAGTAAAATAAAATAATAAATGAAATAATACTTATGTTAAAACAATGTATTTATTTGAAGCCTTTTAAATTATCCATTTTTTTTAAATTTAAATTTTTTATGACAATACTTGTATACTTTTATCTTTTTTATTCATTAACTGTATCACTTATTATTTTTACACACAATTTTTAAACTATGTTAATGATAAGAATTAAGAATGAATGAAATAATTTAGGTTTGGGAACAAAAACTTTTAGTAACAATAAGTAACAGTCATTATACAAGAAATGTTATGCTTCCGAAATTTAAAAAAGAATTTGAAGACAATGGTTTCCCAACTATTGATGTTGTAGTGGCTCGAGCTTCTGAATTGCTTGAAAACACTGAAAGTAAATTGCTTGAAACTTATATTGAAACTAAAAGTGATCCCTTAGTTGGAACAATTGAACCATCCATGTACGTGGGTAGTTTTGAATGGGATTCTCCTTCACTTTTACCTCCAAAAGATGTGAGACCGTATGCCAAAGAAATTATCACCAATTTGATTGCCTTACACTCTGAGGTTTGATTAAAACTTGTTAATTTATGAATTATTCTTAATCACCGCTAATAATTATTTAAGGTCCAAACTATCATGCCAGATTTGATGTATGCTGTATTGTCAGCTATTGTGATCACTATATCAGAAGAAATGTCACGTCTCATGAATTGTGTTACACATTTTAGTGATAATGGTGCCATGCAAGCTAGATTGGATTTGATGGCATTGACATTTACTTTATCAAATTATTTTACACCAAATTCAAAGTAATATACTCGAGTCTTAAGGTCAATAAATACTGCCTACTATTATACTAGAACTATTATTTTTATTTTTATAGGGATTTTTTTTGTGATGCTACTGATGCTGTGCCCCCGTTTAAAACAGAAAATGATGAAAGGTAATTTTTTTAATTTTTTAATTTATGCAGTAGCTAAGATTTTATTCATGATTGAATTTTAATTATTGACACACACGTGTAATTTATTAATGGATTTATTGTTAATATTTAAACTACATTTACATGAGCATTTTTTTCTTAACCATTTGGTTTTAGGTAACAGCACTTATGTTATGTATAAATTATTTGTGTAATATTAAATATGATATATATTTTTTTTATGTTCATATAGTTATGTCATGAAATGTTTAGAGCAGTTCAAGACTCGGATGCATTTACAGTTAATGTGTTTCTTATCACCCATCTCAAATGATGTTGAAACAAGTATTATATAATCTAAAGGTGTACCAAAAATTACATATTTTGATATTTTCTATCTAATTTATATTTTGTATGTTACATTAATAACCGTTATAATTTATTTTATGTATTAATATATTATGAACAAACTGATGAACTATTAAATGTATATTTATTCACAAATATATGTTAAAGTTTTTGTATTATTTACTATTATGTTTTCAATAAAACTTAAGTAATTAGAATCTGTTTTATTGAAATGTATTCTGATTATTTTACTTTAATATTTTTTTCAATATCAACTTGAGTGAACTAACTTGTTCATGTTACGAAAGAAAACATTTAGTGATTTATAGTTTTAATTTTAAAACAACCAGGTTTAAATTTAAAAAAAAAATTCGATCACTTTTACATGATTTTAATATACCTAATAAACATTGATTTTTTGGTATGATGAAGTTGCCCATGAGTTATTTCCATATGACTATGTTTTTTGAGATACTTTAATGTAAGTCTCATTAAAACTGAAAAAAAAAGATCTATTCTATAAAATACTGAACAATATAACTTGACATCCTGTAATAATTTTTAATATTTTTGCTCATTTGATATGTTAATGATTATAATACTAACTACCTAATTACAACATTTTTCTTTGAAAATATAATTAAAAATATAGTCATTGAATCTTGATATTATAGTTATTAATATATCTTAAAATATTAGATAATTTTTAACAATTTAATTATATCAAAGTGTTCAGTTTAATAACAAAAGTAAAGTACTTAAATAAATAAAAATTATTTATTGGGCAAACAAATACCATTACGGTTAACAGTAAAATTAAATTGCTAAAATGGTTTTGTCATATTTGGAGGATGGTTTTAAAAACAATATATTGAGTAACAGAAGGGAGAACCCAGATGATATATATGATAGAGACCCATGAATAGTAAAATAGTAACAGCAATCGTATTTTAAGATCCCTAAGCCCTAAAACACTAAGTAGTCGAGAAAAAAAAATTTTCTAAGTACAAATAGTTAAATATAGTTTATATTATATATAATATAATAATTTAACAAATAAAAAAGAATAATGCTGAATCCTACAGTATTAAGATTTTTTTCATATTGTATTAACAAATGATATAGCTTACTTTTTCACCATAGTTAAACTTGACTTTAACAAATGGACCAAAGAAGTGGTAGGAGAAGGCATATAATACTCATTTGATAGTAGTGTATTCATCCCCACTTTCTCCAAGAAATGTCTAATAAATTTAGAATTTATAGTACATGACACCTATTTTATGGGTGCATGTAAAATCAATTCTTAACGTTCTATCATCATAACATTAATAACTTGTAGCTTATATAATCTGAGAAGATCCCATTTCCTGGTTTAATATGTAGTTTTGATCTCTAATCCATAATTGTTCACAAATAACATTTAAAAAATAAGCTGTAAGTTCATTTTCTTTTAAATCGTAACTGGTATCAGTTTTATTTATTTTTAATATGGTGATTTTTTGTGTTTTTTCAAATTCTTTTATGTCATCAATTGTAATTTTAGCTGTAAAATCACCCGAACAATATCTGAAATAATAAATATTATATTTATTATTTATATTTACATTTTTTTGCACTGTTAAATAATAATGTTCATACTTGGTACCAATAACAATTGGAGCTGGTTTACTTTTGTCATTCATGTATGTGGGCAGATTTGTTGAAATAGTAGATAATCCACTAGGGTCGGTGAATGAAAATACAAACACAATAGCATCTGCTTCTTCTTTGCACACCTGAAATAATTAAACAGATAGCACATTATATAAAAATTAAAATAAATTCTATGATCAAAAATTCAAATAATTATTTACTGGCAATATGTGTCCAAACTTTTTAATGTCTCTATCACCAGCATCCCAACATTGGAGCCTGAATAGTATAATTCTGTCCCATACTTTGACAGGCCAATAAATATTACTCTTGCGTATACCTCGGGTTTCTACATATTCGTCATCAAAGTTAACTATCCCTGCAAGTCTAGCAATTGTGGATGACTTTCCTGCTCCACTTTTGCCGACAAAAAACAATTTGTATGATACTTCTTCAATGTTTGGCAGTATTGGTCGTTCCAACAGACCTAACAAATTGCAAAACGCGTTCATATTATAAAAATTACAATAAAATATATCATCTGATTTAAGTTTTTCACATTATAATACACAGAACGTAAGTAATGCGATTATATAAGAAATGTCAGTCGCCTACCGAAAAATTTTCTACCGTTTGTTTGTGGGTTGTAAAAATGTTGCATAATAGTTTCACCCTCTGCAGTACTTTGCCAGTCGAGTTTCACAACGCTTCCAAACATTATGTCTAAAAACGTAATAAAATTAATAAAATTATAGATTGGTTTCAAACAGTCAAGCGAGTGCAGAGTTAAAACTCAAATTCATTAAACACCGTATTTATTATCAGTTCGGTCGGCGCACAACAGGTACTCTTATCTCATAATAACTATCCGAGATAACTATCTGAGACGTCCGTGTCGCCACTCACCCCATCAATATTCAACATTTTTTTAAACAAACAACATTCGGCGCGTTATTTGTATGAATTTGTTTGAAATGTTTCATAATTTGTTAGTTATTATTATTCATATAACAACCAAAGTGCTGTAGGGAGTCTGTAGACTAATGTTAATACACGTGTCTCCGACTTCTCATCGGATAAAAACTGGTCAAACTAAACATTTTCGTGTGGAAATTTTTGATGTTATGTTTAGGTATATGTCATGTCAATAAATATGATACATGTGATCATTGCTAGAATTTTGTACGTCACCTTTTTCCCGAAAATACGAAAAACCGATTCTGCAAATCGATATTTTTTTTTCTTCAAAAATTATATGTTTAATAAATATTTAAAGATAACAAAATTGTCAATATTTATTACCTAATGTTGTTTTTCATTTGCATCAGTCTGGAGTATTAACGGCCAATAGGAAATAGAAGATATCTGGATAACTGAATCTACGACTAAATTTGATTAAGTATTCCTAAAATTAATCTAAGGGATTAATTATGGTTAACTTAATACGAGTATGGAGTACCTATATGGAAAGTTGAACATTTAATTAACCCATGCCTTATTCTAATGAGCAGTAGGATTCAAATAAATTAAAAATATCAAAAGTACCGTTGGCTTCATGAATATTGGCACTGGGCACCTAATAAAAAATATAATTTTTCGACTAACGAATTATGATTAGGTACAACGTGCAATAATATATTAATCTAATATTTTATGTCGACTAAAAAAAGAAAGTTTTAAACGTAAATTATGGTTTCTGTTTTTTTTTTTGTATTTGTATTTTATTGTGAAATTATAACTAATAACTTATAAGAATAAGAAGAATGAAATATAGTATTGAAATTTTTTAATTATGTACTCACTACTAATGTCTCGTATTATTTGCAATTAAAAGTAAATTATATTTTATTTTTTTTTCCACACAATGATCGAAACTCTAAGATATCAATACAAAATTTATTTTTAAAGGGATAAGTATTATTGTGTTAAGAGGACGTCACGCCCGCATGTGTTGTCTCCGTCTGACATACGTATAACATAGCAAATTTGCGTTCAGTGATACAAATGTAGTGAAGTTAGCTTTAATATTAGATTCAACTGACCTATAATCAAACTTCAAAGGAAGAATATTATCTGTGTCTTGTTGGTCGGTTATTTCCGATTTTTTAATTTTTAGTGAGTTATGACTTTTTTTTAAACGTTATATTTTACGTACTCATAACACTCTTAAAAATTAAAATAATGGAAACAACTGACCAACCACAGACAATATTCTTCCCTTGAGGTTTGATTATAGGTCAATTTACTCTAATATTAAAGCTAACATCACTACATTTGAATCACTGAACGTAAATTTGCTATGTTGTAGATATGTCAGACGGAGACAACATATGCGGATGTAACGTTCTCTTAATTAATTTCATGAAAAAAAAACTTTTCAATGTATTTTAGGCAGTAGATGAAAATCCTTAGAATAAGCCTTGGTTAGAATAAATGTAACATTTTGCGCGCAAACGAAACGAAAGGGAATCCAAGATAATTTGCTTGCTAGTGTAATAACCCAAAAATACAAAAAATAAAATAGGTTGGGAGAAGGGATGAGTGGAAAGTATGGAGGATGTAATACATATATGAATGGCGGTGAGGTATTAATGGGTTGTTACCTTCCTCCTTGTTTAAGGGAGGGCTCTCAGATTTGAGAGGGTTCGAGAGGGTTCGAGAGCCGATCAGCGGAAGTATGCAGTCTGCCAAGCCAAATAAAGCAGCACTTACTTGTTTAGCTGTAGACCTTCTGATGTCGACGCGAGGTTGAAAAAGAAAGGACAAATGCAGAATTTAATAGCACTAGAACCGGATACTCTTCAACACTCGTACGAAGAACGCAAGTCGAACGGATTAAAATAATTTAATATTTTTTTATTTAAATTAAACTTGAATAAGTCACAACAAATCGTATGTATAAGCTCGTCGCTGATCTTATAATCGGTGCGCATGCACTGACGACCTAAGATCAAGAACTCTCTGAAGGGTGGTGTGTGTCCCTGTTATATAGGCACATGCGGTGGCATGGACCTTGGGCCTGTCCTTTGAATGTAGGGATGTCAATAGTATTTATTGTTCGATCTGTGTCGTTCGTGCGGGTATCGAAGATACCGTTATTTATTTATTTGAAAAGGTTTAAAAATAACGTACATATAAATTGTATACATAATAAAATATTTGTGCCGTCTTTTACAGTCGAATGATGCACGTCATTACACTAGCTATTTAATACCGAAAAATTAAACGTTTTAGAATGGGTTGTTTGTTATGTTTTATACAATTTTATAAGATTACAAGTTTACTAGAAAAATTCAGTATACATCTTTTATCGCAATCGCAATTTACATTATAAAAAATAGTGTATTTAATCCACGCTGCAAATAACAAATTTATTAGTCCTCTATAGAAATATTTTAAATTGTTTTTTTTTTTTTTTTATGAAACTTTGTAAGTTTACAATTTATTTCAACATTTACAGGTATATACAATTGGTATAAACTAAAATATTATGTTATACATTTCAATTAATACAAATTAGATCTAATTAAACGGAAAGACCAGTCTCACGGATGAAGTATAGTATTCGGATTATAATAATTTCAAAATTGGGGTTAAGAATAGAAGATAGAGTAAGTTTAATGTTTTAGAGATTTTAAAAAATTGAAAAGAGTTAAACGATTGGAGGATAATGAGAGGAAACTAAAAATAATATGGAAGAGGTCACAAATTATCTCTTCAGTGTGTTTAGTATAGTAAGAGGAATCGTTAAGAGAGTTTATAGGAATGGTATTATATATTATAAATATGTATTTGGAAGTGGCTCAGACATAATATAAATTATTTTTAATAATTCTTAATGGATATAATTAAAAATGAAAACCGATTCAACTTAAGAAAAAAAAAAATTAAAGCACCGATGATTCAAATTTATTATTTTAAACAAGAAGTTCATTGTAATTAAAATCGTTATTATTAATTTTGCAATTTGCATCGTGTGTTTTGTATATTTTATTTTATAAACTGAATTCGTATATGTTTTACTATGAACATACTTAAAGTACTTTTATAATTATGTATGGAAATAAATAAATATATAAATAAAATTATTTATTTTAAGCTATTGTTGTGTGCCTAGGAGATGTTAGAAAATCTAAATGAGTGGAGGTTTTGTACAGAGGTGGCCGATCCCATATAGCTGGGGAAACACAAAGGAGAAGATGAAACATATTAAGCAGTGATCGCAGGGACGCCCGCAGAAATGTAGCTCAGAAGGGGCTAAAAAATTGTAAGTATCTAAATACTTATAGGAAGATTTACTGCTACATATTGCATCTACTCATATTTTGTAATACTATCATTAATAATTTTTTAAAAATCAAAATTCATTTAAGTTTATATAAAATTACACTATTAGTTTTAATATTTATAAGAAAAAATATAATAAAGTTTAAACAAAAAACAACTTTATTTGATTGAATTCACATCATATTTTATTCAAAAAGTAATGACAACCTCCTTTTGTTTGAAGCAAATAAATTAATTGAATCATCAATTTGTTGATTAAAAAAATGTTAGATACTTGTTAGATACAAGGATTGTCGAATAGTCACTGAATACCCAAGATCAAATTTATGTAAAAAAAACTTCTAATTTTGTAAGTGACACGAAAATCTCAGGGGGGCAATGGCACCCACTGCCCCCCCCCCATCCGGGCGTCCCTGAGTGATCGGCAACCTTTATGGACCTTAGGACCACATTCACAAATTAAAAAGAGTTCATGGGCCAGACAATGCAAAAAATTCATATGATATTCAATGAAATTTGCTAGCTTTTGAGTTTAATGCGGGCCGTATAAAAGAGACGTGTGGCCGGATGCGGGTCGCAGGCTGACAGTTGCTGACCACCGGCCTAGAGTACTATTATATTTGTAGAGTACGACCGGTTTTGAATTAAAAATTCGTCTTGTCCTCCTTCGACATATATATGTTAAGAAGTATAAATAATTTGGTTATTATTATTCATTATGATTTAAAATGTATTGACATAAACTATTATTTTGAAAATCGGTTTGTACATTTTAAATATTATTGAAATATATTTTCTTTAAAAATAATATCTTATATCAATAAATTTTAGATAATAATAAATAATAATCAAATAACAATAATATAAGTATTTATATTTCTTAACTGCCCATGACTAAAAAGAATTAAACAAAAAATTTTAATTTTAAATAAGTAGGAATGTTTGGGTGCTTTTGCAATCTCCGCCACCATCACCAAATCATCGTTGACCCAGGAGTCTTCAAATTTAAGTTTGCTTAAGTGTGATCAAACATTTGAGCAGGGCTCCTGTAAGTTTCTGTTCGTAGTTCGTACTTCTTTCACTTTTTGTACTCTTCTTCTGAAATCTGAGACAAGAGTTAGAAAAAGCGCTTATTGGGTTGTGATACTATCGCAGTGCGATAATCGCACGGTTCACATGCACCGAAATATTAATGATAACAGCTCCCGCAAGCACAGTATCATCACGGTTAAATTCTGTTTTTAGCATAGAGTAATATTATAATACTCTATGGTTTTTAGACGCTCTTGGCGTGTTGCTCTGTTGCAGTATCGTTTGGCGGAAGAGATATGTCTCCGTGGGTGACCGGCAAATAGCGTATGCAACTGTTATCATCGTAGGTACGCAAAAAAAAAATAAATAAAATAAATAAAACGCCCAAAAAATAACGACCGTTATTCAGTGTATTCATAAGTTTGGTGATGTTTCAGTATAAGTTAAAGTCATCGTCTCAGTGTCACAAAGTTTCATAAGTCCACGTATTCTAGTCTTAAGATGGTGACAC